AGATAATGAACATGAGGGCTTTTAAGCTGCTGCATCTGATTTCAACATACACATTTATTCAGTCCCACATTGCCACACACAAGTCAAAAAACAATCAGAGAGCAAGCAAACCAACCTAAAACAACTCTTTGGCAAAGAGGAAAAATCTGCATAGATGCTTAAATTTGAAACTGCAGCATGTACCCCCAAAAGAGCATCTTACCTGTTAGGATGCCCTGGAATATATATAAGGCAGCAGGCATCACAGACAGCAGGAAATAGAGGCAGCAGTCCTTTAAAAAGTCCATGGAGTGCTGGAACCAACCAGCAGGCAACAGCACCTACTCAATGACACCCATAGCAGGAATGAGCCCTTTACTGCACTGCTTGCCAAGGACCTATGAGAAGCACTGGGCTACATCTTAATGATTCCAACAAAAACCACAATGATCTTCACTCATGGCACTGGCTTACAAATTTGAGAAAAGGAAAATTTGAAAATGTGCTAGTCATTTTATAATTCTCCCAAGCAAATTCAACTACTAAAACTGTCATATTATATGAAATTGTGTCTTTGATTTCATATCGCCCAGAATTATTAGGCTCAAATCCCTCATTTGGGGCAATGAAATCTTCCTTTATCAAGCCAATAAATTTTATCATGTATCTACACAAATTTAAAGAGGAAAGAAATTACATCGATAATGGTAATTTAATTTTTTTAATGTGTCTAGGAATTTTCTTTCATTATTATTTATGACTAACTAGAGCTTTGACTCCTCAGGATGTTTTAAGCTGTTTACTGCAAGTATCACTTGCTGTCTCCTATGAGGGGGTTTACATGTGCTTTTACTTCATCACTAACATCTGAAAGCAACCTAATAGAAATTAAAACTTAAAGTCAAATCACTATTAAAATTTATAATCTGAGTTTTAGGTCAGTATTCAATTCACAGAAGACTTTTTTTTTTTCTCAAAAAGGGAATAGTTCCCTCCAAGAGACTATCTTTTATTATAATGCAAGGTAACTGCAGTTGTAAATCAGATGTCACAACACCACACATCTGCTTAAGCAATAGTAATTGTCAGTTTAATATAAGATAGTAGTATGCAATTGCTATTGAGATTGAATTAGTCCAGTTTAATGAACGGAAGCATTGGGCCTTCACAGAGTTACTTAATAACCAGGTACTTTACTGAGATATTTTTAGCAGTAGCATATATTTAGATCCATATTAAGAGCTGGATTCATCAGTTGTTTGTATTAAAGCTGACTGCATGGTCAAATAGCGTTTATTAAATATTCAGGCATCCAAAAATTGACATTAATAACAATAAGAGCTAACATTTATTTAATACTTACATGCCAGGTACTCTAAGAACAACCACCCCATAAGGTAAGAACTATTACTATTCCCATTCTACAGATGGGCAAATTAAGGCCCAGAGAGTTAAGTAAGTAAGGTCACACAACTAATAAATGAGAAGAGTTGAAGTCTGAACCCAGAAAGTCTGATTCCAACAGTAATATGGACAATAACAATGTGGAAAAATATATGCAAGGATAATCCAACTCACTAATAGATAATGGTTGCAACAGATTAAGTACTTCCATTGTTATAAAAATTATGTAACTGACTCCCCAGGAAGGATAGTATTAAAAGCTGTTTGTTGGGCTATGTGAGAGCAAAGGTAGAGAAAAAACTTCAGTAGCCTTAATTCATGAGCAAGAGCTGGATTTAAAAAACCAAAATTGTAAAAACTTGTTCAGTAATAAACTAAAAATGGGTAGTAGAGAAGGAATCTGTGAATAATATATATTCTTAAAACTATCAATGAAATCAGATGAAAAGAAAACACAGATTTTTCTGAGTGGATTCAAAGTGATAACAGAGAGATGAAAAGCAGCATATTATTCCAGATTATGCTTGTTAATGGTTCCAAAGGGGAAGGTGAAGCTTCGGTTGATGGGATCAGTATTGGAAGCTAGTTGAGAATTAAAGATGGCGGTAACAGAAGCAGTCAAAAGTGGCAGAAGAGAAAATGATCTGGACTGAAAGCAATTAAGTCTGTCACAAAGTCCAAGAATTCACATGTATTGAGGAAGTAAGACTGAAGGTGAATAGGAATTCAACAAGATTAGGAACAACAGACTACACTGTCACAAAGAAATCTACAATATGAAATAAACACATAAGCCAAGGGTAGACAATGAAGACATAATTTAACTGAGCAGAAAATAATAAAGACTTAAGCTTCATGAGGTGGGGGCTTTGTTATACCCAATGTTGTGGAATTAACTAATGATGCAGACGGAGGCTCAGGTAATCTGGTTCAAACCCTTCTTCAAAATTTTTCTTAGAAAGGGTAGCTAGGAAAAGGGAAAGCCACACAGAGAATGGAAAGTCTGAAAGTAAAATGATAGAAATGATTTAAAGGCCAGCAAAAAACTCTTAAAATACATGGTTGCTAGAGTTAATTTTGAGACTCATGAGTTGGAGAAGATCTGTAGTGGCAATATTTTAAATTCCCCTTACAGACTCTGAAATAAGAATATAAGTGGGAATGTAAGTCTATGAAGAGACATTAACATTTGCTCTCAAGTGGCAATTCTTTCTGAAAAGTGATCTATGTATGAGCTTTATGGCATGATTCAAAAGCTGTAAGTAGTGATGACAACCTCCAGAATTCCTAACAGCTGAGTCCATCACGGATCTTTAAAAGAACTGAAGTTTCCAAGACTGCAGTTTAGAAATCACACTACAAAGAAAGTGATATAATTCCTTTTTATTTTTTTGGTATCAACAGACAGAAACTGTTCCATGGCTGAGTAGAGTACAAAAGCCAACCCTACCAGAAGGAAAAAAACCATTCAGTTAGTAGCCTTGAGTCATAGCAGAAGTATGCATGAGAAGGGTGGAGTTTAATCACACCCTAGTGTTTAGTGGCCAACAGAGGCCTGCCTGAAGCTGCTTAGGATTCCCCAGGGTAAGAACACCATATTGAGATTACAGCTTGATGCCCGTTCTACAGAAATGTTCAGACCCAGACTGGAAGCACTACATAATCCTAGGGGGGCACCATCTACACTGCAGTCTATGTGGATGGCATCTGTGCAGTTGTATAGTGACAGCCTGCCCACCCTGACACAGTTGTATTGCTTCTAACAACTAGGTGCTTGAGCAAAGCCTTTTGGGTTTATATGGGAAACATACATTTCTTTCTTGTCACCACTTTCTTAAAATTGTCAAAAATGCCAAAGAACATTCTCTCTTATCCAAATATTTGTTTTATTGGAATAAAATACAATTGATATTTTTCATACAATCCTGTCTCAGTTTTTCTATCAACTGAGAAGGGGCTCATGACAACAGTGTCAAACAACACCTGATGACTAATGAAACACCCTTTGAAGTCCCTGAAATGTGATCACTACCACAAAGAAGCCAAGTTCTTACCCCATTTCTAACTCAAGGAAAAATGTCTAATAACCTGATGACAGTAAAGGTGAGTAATCTGTGGCATCTAAAAGTGGTTCTGTGGTGAACTTGGGAAGAGATGAAAATAATTATTCCCAATATTTAAACAAAACTCATATTCATTCCCCAAATGTTAAAGTGAGATTTAGTACAGCCACGGAATGGAGTCATCTGGTCAATCTCTTATTGTATGTCAGCATTTCCCCCAAATTTTCTGTGGAATATTAAAAGGATTCCATTGTCAGTAAGTTTGAAATGGCACAATTACCCAACTTGTATCATCGCCACGCACGTTAGCCTATTAAGGCCCTGTGAAGTCCTATAGGTTTTGTTAACCCTATAGGACTACAGTTTGTTTCCTACAGTTATTTGATCACAAAACCTGGTTTCTGATGCTGTTGTTTTGTGGAGTATCAGTGATAAGAGAAACAGAGTTAGGGAAATGACTCTCAAGGATTACCGTGTATACACCTATTAATTCCTTGTAAAGAATTAAAATATAACATCATCTAAAACGAAAATGAGTTTTTTTGTTTTTGTTGTTTTTTTGTTTTTTTGTTGTTTTGTTTTTTTTTTTTTTGAGACACAGTCTCACTCTGTCACTCAGGCTGGAGTGCAGTGGCACAGTCTAGGCTCACTGCAACATCCACCTCCTAGCTTCAAACGATTCTCCTGCCTCAGCCTCCCAATTCTTGTGCCTCAGCCTCCCCAGTAGCTGGGATTACAGGCGTACACCACCACGCCTGGCTAATTGTTTTGTATGTTTAGTAGAGACAGGGTTTCGCCACATTGGCCAGGCTGGTCTTGAATTCCTGGCCTCAAGTGATCTGCCTACCTCAGTCTCCTAAAGTGCTGGGATTACAGACATGAGCTACCACTCCTGGCCTTAAAATAAGATTTCTTTTGATGATTGCATAATACTAAAGAAAACTGAAGTACCTCCAGGCCAACAAATGTTGGTTGATAGCTTTACTTGGTAAAAACAACCACCAGAATAACATTTACCGTATATTTAGTGATGCCAGAAATAAAAGACAAAAAGCCTATTTTATACTACTGTCACTTATACTTCTCATATGAATAAAAACATATCAATACTTGGGGTTGACAGTATTTTAAGTGATCACTAAGAACATATAACTGTGCTTATTTTTTGTATTTAAAACTCATTTGTCTGAAAACATCAAAAACTTTATGACTTCAGGAGCTCACAACCTTGCAATAATCTCTCCTCATATTACTGACTTCATCACGATTATCTACTGAAACCAAAACAATGGCACCTACTGAAGATTATTACAATACTTACCACATTACAAAAAGAATCCAGACCAATGCTATGTACATACTTAGTACATTCTGGATTAGACCAAGTAAAATTTAACAACAAGCTGAACAGCATTCTATAAAACAAAAACAAAAAGTCAGTTAGGCTAATTCTGTCTGTTTTTCTATGCTATGGACTCACAGTGAGAAAGAAGATAGGCTTGGAACTTGATGACTAAATCAGATCTAAACTCTTCATCCAGAATTTATCTACACTTACCTTAACAGAAGTTCTTTGGGTAACTTTTTGTTAATAAGGCCTTCATCATTGTTTGAGAAAACCTGGAAAGAAAAAAAAGGAAATTGAGAAAATGTTCTTCAATCGATGTGGAAAAAAGTTATTTGTTTTTATACTAGTAGATCAGAACAGCCCCAACTGTTAGTCCTACAAATAGGGTGTTACTAATTTCATGCAGCCACCATATTCTAATATTGAGTAATATAAAACATTTTATGCCCTATCACTGTTTCATAAAAATGGCAACACATGGCCATTAGATACTACATTGTATTGGAGGTTCCAGCCAAAGCAATTAGACAAAAGATAAAAAAGATGTCCAGACTGGAAAGGAAGAAGTAAAACAACCTCTATTTGCAGATGACATGATCTTGCACATAGAAAATTCTAAAAATGCACAAAAATCAATTAGAACTAATCAAGGAGTTCAGCAAGTCTGCAGGATACAACATATATACAATATAGTTATATACATATAAGCTGTATTTCCACATAGTAGCAATGAACATCCTGAAAATAAATTTCAGAAAATAATCCTATTTACAACAGCATCAAAATGAACAAAATACTTACGAATAAACTTAACAAACGAAGAATAAGGCTTCCATATTGAAAACTCACACATTGTTGAGAAAAATTAAAGAAGGCTTAAATAAATCAAAAGACATTCATGTTCATGAACTGAAAGACTTATTAGTGTTATTTTAGCAATGCTTCTGAAACTAATCCATAGATTTAATGCAATCTTTCTCAAAATTACAACTGACTTTTTTACAGAATTTGAAAGGCTGATCAAAAAATTCATATGAAATGCAAGGGACCCAGAATAACTAAAATAATCTTGAAAAAGAAAAACAAAAGGATGAAGGATGCAAACTTCCAGATTTTGAAATTTACTACAAAGCTACAGCAATTAAAACAATGTGTTCACTGGCATAAGGGTAGACATACAGATCAATGGAACAGAACAGAAAATCTAAAATAAAATTATAAAATTGGCTAAAATAAAGAGAATCAAGAAATAAACTCTTAAATTTATGAGCAGTGATTTAAATTGAGAAAGAATAGTCTTTTCAAGAAATGGTACCAGTACAACCAGATATATACAAGCATAACAATGAATTTGGACCCCCACCTCACTTCATCTAAAAAAATTAATTCAAAATGGCTCAGAGACTTAAATAAATATAAGAGCTAAAATTATAACCCTTAGAAGAAAACATAAGCATAAATCTTGGTGGCCTTGGATTATGCAATGGTTTCTTAGACATGACACTGAAAGCATAAACATCCAAAAAAAATTGATAAACTGGACTTCAACAAAATAAAAGACCTGGCTGGGTGCAGCAGGTCACGCCTGTAATCCAAACACTTGGGGAGGCCAAGGCAGGCAGATAGCTTGAGGTTGGGAGTTCGAGACCAGCCTGGCCAACATGGTGAAACCCCATCTCTACTAAAAGTACAAAAATTAGCAGGGCATGGTGGCGCATGCCTGTAGTCCCAGTTACTCAGGAGGCTGAAGTGGGAGAATAGCTTGAACCTGGGAGGCGGAGGCTGCAGTGGGCCAAGATCGTGCCACTGCACTCCAGCCTGGGTGACAGAGCAAGACCCTGTCTCAGAAACACAAACAAACAAACAACAGACCTTTGTACTTCAAAGGGCACCATCAAGAAAGTGTAGGAAAAAACCCCACAAGATTGGAGCAAATATCTGCAAATCACAGATCTGACCAGGCACTTGTATGCAAACTACATAAAGAACTTCTGAAACTCAGTAATAAAAGACAACCCAATTTTAAAATGGGCAAAAGATTTGAATAGATATTTCTGCAAAGAAGATATGCAAATGGCCAATACATACATGAAAAGATGTTCAACGTAAGGGTAAGTCAAGGGTAAGTCAAAGCAGTGAGATACATCATACCCATAGGATGGCTAAAATGAAAAAGATAGTAATAAGTAATGGTGAACACAAGGAGAAACTGGAAATCTCATACACTGCTGGTGGGAATGTAAAATGGTATAGCCACTTTGGAAAACAATCTGGCAGTTCCTCAAAGGTTAAAGAGTTACCATATGACCCGGCAACTCCACTTGTAAGTCAATACTAAAGAGAAATGAAAATGTATGTCCATACAAAAACTTGTCCATGAATGTTCACAGCAGCACTATTTTTAATAGCTAAATAGTGAAAACGATTAAAAAATGTCTATCAGCTGATGAAGGAATAAACAAAATGTGGTATTCCAAAACATGGAATACTAGTCAGCAATAAAAAGGAATTAAGTAATGATATGTGTTACAACAGGAATGAGTCTTGAAAACATGCTACTGAAAGCAGACAAAAAAGGGTACATATTGTATGTTTCCATTTACATTAAATGTCCAGAAAAGGCAAATCCATGGAGACAGAAAAAAGACTAGTAGTTGCCTAGAGCTGGAAAGTGACTGCTAATGTATATGAGGTTTCTTTTGAAGGTATGAAAAAAATTCTTGAATTAGACAGTTGTAATAGTCACATAACTTGGTGAATATACTAAATCCCACTGAATTGTACTTTTTAAGTGAGGAAAATTTATAGCATATGATGAATATCTCAATTTTTAAAACCTGGATTAAAAAAACAATCCATCAAAACAAACTGCCGAAGTGGAAACAGTGGCATAAATAGTACCCTACATTTATTTTCAAAGTAGTGTCAATGATGAATCTTTGTGTTGGATATATGAGACTAATATTTAGTAAGTGCCTACTGTGTTGCAAGTTCCAGTAAGCACTATGTTAGATTAAATAGCTAAATTATCTAATATATTTCTAGTTCCCTGAGGTGCAAAGTTACTGACTGGTTGGTTTTTTTTTTGGAAACAGGGTCTCACTCTATCAGTCAGACTGGAGTGCAGTGGCATGATCACAGCTCAATGTAGCCTCAACCTCCCTCGCTCAAGCAATCCTCCCACCTCAGCTTCCCAAGTAGCTGGGACTACAGGTACATGCCACCACACCCAGCTAAATTTTAAAACGATTTTTTGTAGAGACAGGGTCTCCCTATGTTGCCCGGGCTGGTCTCAAACTCCTGGGCTCAAGTGATCCTTCTGCCTTGGTCTCCAAAAGCGCTGGGATTATAGGTGTGAGCCACTGTGCCTGGCCTTTCTTCTTTTGTAATGTAAGCACTTACATTTATAAAGTTCCCTCTAAGTACTGCTTTCATTGCATCCCATATGATATATTTTCATTTCTATTCATCTCAAAGTATTTTAAAATAGCCATTATTTCTTTCACCTATTAATAATGTGGTTAATTTGGGGTCAGGCACAGTGGCTTATGCCTGTAACTCAAGCACTTTGGGAAGCCAAGGCAGGAGGATCACTTAAGGCCAGGAGTTCAAGGCTAGCCTGGGCAACATAGTGAGACCCAACTCTACAAAAAAAATTAAAAATCAGCAAGGCATGGTGGCATGCCCTATAATCCCTATAATCCAAGAGGCTAAGCCAGGAGATTGAGCCTGCAGTGAGCTATGATTGCGCTACTGCACTCTAGGCTAGGCAACAGAGCGAGACTCCGTCTCAAAAAAAAAAAAAAAAGTGTTTTTACATGATTGTGAATTTTCCAGGTTTCCTTCTATTGTTGATTTCTAGCTTCATTCCATTGTTATCAAAGAAGACACTTTGTATTATTTCAATCTTTTGACATTTATTGGAACTTTTTTTTCAAATGTTTTACTGAGTGTAGACATCTGGAGTACTGTAAAATATGCATTATCCGTAGATTCAAAAAGGAGTAAGCCGCATTGTCCTCACTGTCAAATGTGTCAGGCTTGGCATACATGATGGAGATTAATGAAGTATCATGAGAGTAATATGGTTCCTGAAAAGCTTCTACAATTTGGAGTAGGGTCTTAATCATGTGAAAAGCAAAGCTGTTCACATTTAGTGAATTTGCATTTCATTGGTGGAGAGGTACACAGTATTTTAATTTTAAAACAAATAAAAATAATTTGTTGAAGATTCCCATCTTCCCAACTTTAATTGTTCCATCGGTTTTCAGAAATTTTAATTTTAAAAAAATCAGATGCCTTTTGGAAGTTGTATGCTTATCTGAGCAATAACTAAATTTTATTTCTTCTTCGGTTGTTGAGGTGTGTTAAATTTGAAGAAGACCATATCTCCATCTTCAACAATATAATTTCTGCCCTGTTGTCTGTACTTTCCAGCAGCCTTGACTTCCTCATCTTCAAGCTGATTTCCTCATCTTCAAGCTTGATTTCCTCATCTTCAAGCTGAAGCTCTTCATGTATTATTTCTATATTTCGAATAGGATCTACACTTCCTTCAACATGCGTAATATCATCATCTTCAAAAGCACGTGTTAGATGAAAGATGCCATCACAGGCACGAATATGAGATAAAAAAGCATTCTCCAGGCCCTGCCCATTGTGAGCTCCTTTCACAAGGCCAGCAATAACCACTACATTTAGAAAGGCAGAAATTTTGCTCACTGGTTTGTGGTATTGGCAAAGAAAGTCAAACCTTTCATCTGGCACAGGTACTCTGCTCTCATTAGAATCAATAGTGCAGAATGGGAAGTTTTCTGCTGAAGCCTGACTACTGCTTAATACACTGAAGAAAGTAGATTTCCCAACATTTGGCAATCCAACAATATCAATTTTCAGTGAGGTTCCAAATCTTCCAATGATTGGGGGTGGTTTAATTCCATCACCTCCCTTTTTAGGGGGCATCGTGCTCGGCCTGGGTGATGACACAGGGTCCCAGCAGCAGTGAGAGAAAGGTCCTGCCGGCAGCCGGAGGTGGGGAAGAAGCTATTGGAACTTGTTTTGTGGTCTTACATATGTCTATCCTGAAGAATGTTCCAGGTACACTTGAGAAGAATGTTGACTCTGGTGTGGTTGGGTTAAGTGTTCTACATAAATCTGTCAGGTTTCATTGATTTATAGTGTTGTTCAAGACTTCTGTTTCCTTATTCTGCTGTCTAAATGTTCTTTATTGAAAGTATGGTATTGAAGTCTCCAACTGATGTTGGGGTTGGTGGTGAATGACATGAAAACCTTCACATATCTCAACAGTCAGAACAATGGGCTTATTTTCTGTTATTACGAAGACTAGTGAATCAAAGTTGTGAGATTTCACCTCAACATAGGAAAAAAAACTTTCTAGCAATTACAATAGCCCATACTAGAATGTCTTGCTGTTGAAGCAGTGATCTCCCATCTTCAATGCTCCTGCAGAGTCCACAGAACCAGGATTGTCAGAGAAAGGAATCCCTTCCTCAATGGGAAATGAGACTAGGAAACCTCTAAGGATCAAATCTAATTTCCCAAAAGAGTCTTATAATCCAAGATCTTCCACTTACACCTTTGTAAACCTTGGGCACGTCATTTAACTTTTCTATGCCATAGTTTCCTCTTCTTCAAAATGGGGATATGAATGGAACCTGCCACTTTTCTATGCCATAGTTTCCTCTTCAGCAAAATCGGGATAGTAATTGAAGCTACCACAAGGGCTGTTGTGAATGAAATGAGTTTATAAACGTAAAGTGCCTAGGATAGTCTTGGCATATACTAAGTGCTTAACAAATGGTAGCTATGATGACAGCTGTGCAGTCTCCAATTACTATTATAAAACCATTTCTCAGCTAGGTGCAGTGGCTCACACCTGTAATCCCAGCACTTTGGAGGGCCAAGGTGGGAGGACTGCTTGAGGCCAGGAGTTCAAGACCAGCATGGCCAACACAGACAGACCTCCATCTCTAAAAACAGAAAAAAGAAGAAAAAATTCTCCCTTTATTTTTGTCAGTTTGCTGCATATATTTGTGGCTCTGTTGTTTAGTGCATATGTGCTTATAATCATTATGGTTCCTGTAGGAATTAACCTTTTATCAACATATAATCACCTTTGTCTCATGTAACAATTTTTATTGTAACTTAGTCTATTTTGCCTGATATTAGTGTAGCCAACCCAGCTCACTTTTAACCTGTCTTTTGATCTAACAAGGATCTCTTGTAGACAACATAAAATTGGATCATGCGGGAAGTTTTTTGCTCGTTTTTGTTTTTATCCATTCAGCCAGTGTCTACATTTTAGTTAGTAAATTTAATACCTTTGTACTTATAGTAATTACTGATAAGGAGGGACTTACGTCTGCCATTTTGCTATTTTTTAAATTCTGTAGTGATGTGTACTGCTTCATAAATGCCAAGTATCAAGTTGGTTGATAGTGGTGTTCAAATCTTTTATATCTTTACTGACTTTTTTTTTCTCCACAAGTTCTGTCAATTAGTGATAGAGGTGTTATATTCAGCTATGATTGTGGTTTTGCCTCTTTTTCTCTTTGGTTTTATCAATTTTTGTTTCACATATTTTGAAGCTTGTTGTGAGGTATATACAAGTTTTTTTTGTTTTGTTTTGTTTGTTTGTTTTTTTGAGACAGAGGCTTGCTCTGTCACCCAAGCTGGAGTGCAGTGGCATGATCTTGGCTCACTGCAACCTCTGCCTCCCAGGCTCAATGATCCTCCCACCTCAGCCTCCCAAGAAGCTGGGATTACAGGTGTGCATCACCAAGTCCAGTTAATTCTTGCATTTTTAGTAGAGATGGGGTTTCACCATGTATGCCAGGCTGGTCTTGATCTCCTGAGCTCAAGTGATCCACCTCCCTCAGCCTTCCAAAGTGCTGAGATTACAAGCATGAGCCACTGTGCTCAGCCTGTTATGTATTTTTAATAAATTGATTCATTATGATAAATGATCCTTTTTTCTAGAAATGATCCTTGTTTTAAAGTCTACTTTGTTAACATAGCAACATCAACTTTCTTATGCTTTTTGCATGGTACATCTTTTTCACCCTTTTTCAATCTGTGTTTTATATTTACAGTGATTCATAAAGACAGCACATAGTTGGACCATGCTATTTTATCCAGCCTGACAATTGCTACCTTTTAATTGGAGATGATGGTCTTTACATTTAATGTAATTATTGATATGATTTTTAAGTCTGCCATCTTTATATTTATTTTCCATTTGCCTCTCTTCTTTGTTCCTCTATTCTGCTTTCCTGACTTTTTCGTAATGTGATATTTATTACTTCCTTCACTGATCTTATAGCTACACCTCTCTGTATTTTTTTCAATGTTTGCTTTAGTGATTGCAGAGTGCATCTTTAACTTATCAATGTCTAACTTCATTTGACCTCCCCGGCTTGTTGTGCACTTACTGTTGGATAGCTTACTTCTACTACTACTATATACCAAATAATATGTTATTATTTCTGCCTTAAATAGTCCATATTTTTTAAATAAATGTATGTATTAAAGCAAGATATTTTAAAAGGTCCCTTATATTAATCCATATATTTACCCTTCCTGGTGTAATGCATTCCTTCAGATCTGAACTTCCTTTATTATAACTTCCCTTCAACTTAAAGAACTTCTTTTAACACTGCTTGTAATATAGGTCTGATGTAGACAAATTGTTTTTGCTTCCTTCAAAAATATCTGTATTTCTCCTTCACTTTTGAATATTTAATTCCAGGTTAGCAGATTTGCTTAAAAAATAAAATACAGCACTTTAAAAAAGTTAGTCCAGGCCAGGTACAGTAGATCACACCTATAATTCCAATACTTTGGGAGGTGAGGCAGGAGGATCACTTAGCTCAGGAGTTTAAGACCAGCCTGGGTAACACAGTAAGACACTGTCTCTACAGAAAATTTAAAAAGTAGTTGGGCATGGTGGCATGCACCTGTAGTCCCAGCTATTCAGGAGGCTAAGGTGGGAGAATTTCTTGAGCCCAGGACATTAAGGCTATAGTGAGCTATGTTCACACCACTGCACTCCAGTCTGAGCAACAGAGACCCTGTCTTAAAAAAAAAATTTCATTTTCCTCTGACCTGCATTGTTTCTGACAAGGTGTCAATTATTCATATTACTGTTCACCTTTATGTAATTTTTTCTTTTCTACCTCCTTTTAAATTTCCTTTATAAAAATTTTTGATTTTCAGAAAGTCGACTCTGATATACCTCAATTTAGACTTCTGTCCCTGCTCTTCCTCCTCTCCTTCTTGAACTTTAGTTGCATGTATGCTAGACAATTTTGTATTGTCCCACAGATCTTGAACGCTGATTTTTATTGATCTGTCCCTAAGTTTACTGGTGCTTTCTTCTGCCGTGTGCAGTCTGCTATTAAGCCTATCAAATGAATTCTTCATTTCTAATATATTTTTCATTTCTAGCATTTCCACTTGGAGAAATAGTTTACATCTTTCTGCTGAAATTTTCTCTGTTTATCCATGTTGTTCAACGTCTGGGCCATCACTGAGACTGTTTCTGTTGCCTCTTTCTTCCCATGACCATGGATCACATTTTCTTGTTTCTTTCTCTATCTCATAATTTATTTCATGCCAGATACTGTGTATAAAAGAACATTAATTTATCTCCATAAAGGGAAGTTCCTTCTTCAATTAAGTTGCTGGGAAACTGGGAGTGACAGCTCAATCCTTTTAACCCATAGTTGAGCTGGGTTTGAGATTGTAGTGTTAGTTCATGATTGGCTTATAATAATTTCAGTGCGAAATCAGAACTTTACCTTCAGGAGAAGCTAAAATCTGAGCACTGTCGAAGCTTCATACATCTCTGAGCTTCACAACCTATGCTAGCTTTCCGAACCGTGAGATATCTTCCCTCCTCTCTGCCCTCCCCTCACATTCCAGCTTTCAGCTAGGGTGTTGTCCTTGGTCTCCAGCAGCACCTTCTGTTTTCTGTGCCTTGAGGAGATCTCTTTTTGCTCTGTTACCCTGACTACGCCTTCTCAAAGGCTGACTTGTCCTCAGTAAAAGCCTAGATAGTCATAAAGAGATTTCTTAGCTGTCTTGCCATGCCCCCAGCCTGTTGCAGGCCCAGCCTTAGACTTCATAAAGCCCCTGGTGCACTACAGGGATTTCTATTAACTCTCCTGCCCTGCCCCCAGCCTTCAGCAAAATCCACCCACCTCAGCAGGATCCTCCTTAGCTCTCTTTCCCTTGCCCCTGCATCCGAACTCCTATTCCAATGTACTAATTGAAGGCCCGTGGGGGGAAAGTTGGCAGGTAGGTGTAGTCCTGCACTGTAGCTGGAACTCCTCAGGATTCCAGATTGTCACTCCAGCCTACATGCAGTCAGTAACAGTTGACTTCTCTTTATATGGCAAATTCTTCCTCTTGCTGTTCCACCATAGATGAAAAGTATCTATGTATCTCTCTCTCTCTCTCTTTTTTTTTTCTCTTGAGAAGAAGGGCTCACTACTTTCCAGATTTTTGTTTCTTTAGATTTTTTTGTGTCAACTCTGATAGGTTTTTAAAAAATTATGATTTTGTACCTTCTCTGACTTTTCTTACTACCAGAGTGGGAGCAATAATGTCAACTGTTGCAACTTTCAACACTGTAACAAGAAATGGAAGTCTTTATTATCCTTTTTGATAGAAGAAAAACAGACTTGGAGAAAATAAATGACTTGACCAAGGTTCAGAGCTAAGAAACAGAAAAGCTACAATTTGAACATGACTACAACTCCAGGGCTCTTTATGCTGCACAACAAGTAGTATAGGCTGTTTGACTCTGGGAAAGTCATTTAACCTCTCAGTATTTAGTATTTCTAGCTGGTAAAAGGAAACAATTGTACTAGATAAACTCAAAGTCTCTTCCAACTCTAACACTCCGAGAGTCATTGAAGTCGAATTTCTGCTTTCTTCATCCTTACCCCAAATTTGCTCCTTCCATGGTCTTCATCTCAGCAAATGGCAGGTCCTTCTTCCTCTTGCTCAGGCTC